GGGCGGGCCGCCAGCCCCGCGCCCGGCCGGGCGGCACACAGTGCCGCCTGTTACCCGGCCCGGCCATCAATCGCTCCTTGTCCCGCCGTGGCGGGCGGGGGCAGGCCGGGAGCCTGCAGGGCCAGACACCCCCACCCGCCCGCGGAGCCCCAGGCCTCCGGCTCCCTCCCGCTGTGCGAAGCGGCCTTGGGCCTGTGCCCGCTGCCCGTTCCCCAGGGCTGCTGGCAGTGGGCCCTGGCAGGCCCAGGGCTGACGGACTTGCCCTCCTTCCCAGCAAGTGAAACTGGAGGAGTTTGGGAGGCCGAAGATAGACGGGGAGCTGAAGGTCCGGTCCATAGTGAACCACACCAAGCAGGACAGGTGAGCGGGCGGCGGGCGAGGTGGCGGGCTCCCGGCCGGGCGCCGGGCACGGGGCTGGAAACGGGCCTTCCTGTGGAGAGAGCCCCGCCCGCGCCTCTGTGTTGTTCTGTGTTAATTGCTTCCTCCCGCCTCGGGGAGGAGGCTGTCCGGGACCCAGTCAGCCAGTGGCCGCGCTGCCCTGCCCGTGGCCAGCACTGGGCCAGGCTGGGGGGCCCAGGCCCCTGTGAGGGACAGCCAGCCGTGGGGGCCCGGCTCCGGGTGAGCCGGCTGGGGTCTGTGCGCCCCCAATGTGTGCAGGGCTGGGGTGCATCCCAGCAGCTGGGACCTGTCCTCACGGGGCTCCCAGTGGAGTACGGGGTGGGCAGGTGAGCAGGCAGTGACCCCAGGGTGGCCCCTGGGTCGCGGAGTCCCCAGAAGGGCTTCCTGGAGGAGGTGTGTTGGTGTGGCAAATCCTAGCTGCGGCTCACAAGGGCCGGGAGGGCCGGGCCGGGGGGACTGGGAGCTGCAGGCGAGGGGCTGGGGGCTCAGCCTCCCTCCCGCCCACCCCAGGTGCCCACGGCCGCCGTGGCCCTGGAGTGCAGTGCGCGGGCATGCTGACGGCCCTGGCCGCTGCGGCCAGGTACTTGTTCCTATTCGACAAGGTGGTCATCGTCTGCAAGAGGAGGGGCTACAGCTACGAGTTGAAGGAGATCATCGAGCTGCTCTTCCACAAGATGACCGATGACCCCATGAACAACAAGGACATCAAGAAGGTGGGGCCGCGGGACCCCTCAGCCGGGCAGAGGGCCTCGCCGAGGGTGGCCTCGAGGAAGGGGGCGCGGTGTGGACTTGGCGCTGACCGGCGCCGACCGCCCACTCTGGGATGGGCTTCGGTGTCCGTCACCCTCTGTCGCTGCGAGGGTGTGGCGGGGTGACCCCGCCTTGCTGGGGAGGCCTCCCTTGAGGCTGCGAGCCTTGGTCTGACACAGCTCTAGCCCGCCCTGGCCTCTGCAGCAGGCAGGCCTGCCCCCCATGCGGCCTCTCGCCCTTCGGGGGGGCCACAGGGGCCTGGCTCTGGCTTGTGAGACGGGTGTCCAGCCAGGAGGAAGCAGCGGCTGGAGGTGGGCCCCAGTGGACGGGCAGGGCCCTGGCTCTGAGTTGGGCCTTGTCCGTAGGGATGGGGCTGTTTCAGTGGGGCGTGGCCGTGGCTGGGGCTGTGCCCGGGGGCGTGGCCGTGGCCTCGGAGCC